AAGACTAAAGACGAAATTTACTCCAAAGTAAATGAGGAGTTTAACAATAATTTTGTTTTTAAGAAAAAGCAGAGGCGTACCATTTTTTTCTTCAAAAATATTCAGTTCAAACCCCGTACGGACGTCAATGGTAAAAATTTAAAAAAACTTTTACGTCAAAAAATGCTCCTTAATGATTTGAATGTGTGTACAAAATTTCATAAACATATCTGGAGTGATAAGAAAATTATGATAAAAAAGTTATTTTTTTAAACTACCTCTTTTCGGCACTCAATTAATAAACTCAATTAATGTACTGGATTGTAATTAACAAATTGCTTACTGTGGAGCTATTAGAAATAAATCTATGTTGAATTTGTGCTAATTCATTGGTTATATACAGTATTTCTCAAATACCTCCCGATAGCTCAAAATATCGAAAATCGATTTGTGACTTTTCAAATTTTTAGAGTCAAAAAGGTCTTCACGCTCACCAAATACGGATGCGATATGCATTTTGCGCTATGAGATGTATTATTAGTACGCATTCGTATGAATTGTTCCTAAATACAGATAGTGAGCTTTTAAGATCAAATTTGGGGGAATTTCAACAGAAACGCCAGGGTTTTTGTTAACCGTTTGACCTAGAAGATGCGGTTTGTGGCGTTGAATTTATCTCTAATCCTTCCAAATGGGTATACACTTCTTTAACTTTCCCATCCTGACTCCAGAAGAGCGGTATAGAAACACAATCCTATTAAATAGACAGAAATAGCATACGTAGCCAATGGCGGATCGCAATATCCTGTGCTTGCCATCGAAAGGGCGTGGTTAAACCAATTTCTCTCTTTATACCTCTCACGTCCAGATATAATTAAAAGTCTCATTTTTATTTTGCGTAATGCGTTGGTTAACATACTGTGTATAAATATTGCGATATCTCAAAATTTTGAAAATCTGAAAAGTGATTTTCAATATTTTTGAAGTAGGTTGTTGGCGCTAGCGTAAAGGTAGACTCATAAATTGATATGGAAATCTCATTTCGGCTTTCCAATGAATATAAAATCTCAAATTTGTAAAAGTTTATGATAATAAATTAATATAACTACTGCCTATTTTTGATTAAAACCATTTTTTTTTATTTTTGCAATAACTAATAATAGCCGCCTTTAACAAAGGTACTCTATAAAGTTAGGCTCTCTATCATAAAGTTCGTGAATCTCTCTAGTGGCCTTAAGTCAAAATAAAATAGCAAAAATGGTAGTACCAACAGGAACTATTTCGCTACCTATATGCTGCCACTAAAATACCAGTTCTAATTGATGGTCACTGGTCACTGAAACTTTTCTGAGACCATTTTGCCTTTCTAGGTACCCTGTTACTTTATTTATGCATATTAGTGGCAGTGCGATGGGTGGCAGTAAATAATTCATTGGTACTATATAACATTTTCCACGAGTCGGTCTTTTCACCTTCAGATAAAGTTCCAGTTAACTAACCAAAGGGTATATTATCCGAGATTTACTATCTAACAGATAATGAGGTTTCCGTCTTTTCAAGAGAAATAATCTGTAGGGTAGTTATCTGGTACTTTCTAACGTTCTATGGTCGTGTACCTACCTTCATATCAATGTATTTATACATGCAATATGTCATTCTCACTGTCACTTGTTGTCATTATTTCGTTTTGTCACTTAGTTGAAAGGTTTTTGTATTTTTTTGATATTTATTATTTAAAACTCCATAGAGCAAGTGACAAAACAGAAAACATCGACCAACTTTCAATAAGCAAGAGGATGCTTGAAACACAAAGCAGTACTGCCAAATAAAAAATTGATTCTTAAGTCTATTGTATTATAATTCAACATAGATTGTTCATTTGAATAAATTGAATATTTCGAAGGTGTAGTTTTTTATTCTGTATGTATGTAATATTGGTGCGAAGGGCATTAGTTTACACTATTTGCCATAAACTATTTTATAAATGTAAAGGCTGTTTTTTTATTATACAGCTTAGTATTTTTTCGAAAAAAAAAAAATATGAACTACCTATACGAAACAAAAGTAATCCACTATTTTCAAAAACACAACATCTTCAACAACGTCCATAATGTCAAATACAATAATGTGTTGACTCTTATCGCATATTATTTTATTATGTCATATACCTACTTATCTATCAGTTAACTACTTTATCAGGAAGTTCAGAGGTAAGATAAGTTATCTTTCAGATTAGACCAATTTATCTGCCGGTTAGTTTTATCCAAAAGTGAAAAGATGATTTTTTAAGTTATCTGGGAGATAACGATTACCTGACACTTTATCTGAGGGTGAAAAGACCGACCCTAAACAATAAAATGATAATGCCCAGTTACAGTAACTACCCAAATGTTTTGACGTTGGGTGTTTACAGTTCCAATAAATGTTGTCGGTATGGAAACAGTTACTTTAAAAGAACCATACATATAAAGTAGCTTTACCCAATAAAGTACCAATGATAGTACCAGACTGTACCCCAGGAATTAATCCATCGTAGCAAAATCATTTTTACCTGCCTACCATCTCTACAGTCTCTGTCTGACTGACATTTCCCGTAGAAATGGCCAAAAAAGCAACACATTTTTGAAAAGTATTTCTCAAAAACTGTAAGATGCCTTAAAAACACGTCCACATTTTTGTCAAAGGATCAATTTTTTGTGATTTTTTTAAATACCCATATCTACGCTATTCTTGAAGTTAGCTCCTCAACATATCCTGCATTAAATCATTAAGAATTGAAAGCATAAGTATGAGTTTTTTAATTCACTACAATTACTTAATATTTTTATTTACCGTTTTTTACACGTGTATCGTATGTGGATATTGAACCATTAAGTTTGGCAATTTAAGAAATTTTGTTGATGGCGCCAAGTGAAAGCTTTATTGTGCTTTTTTTTAATTCATTACAATCACTTAATGTTTTTATTTACCGTTTTTTTACACGCGTATCGTATGTGGATATTGAACCTTTAAGTTTGGCAATTTAAGAAATTTTGTTGAAGGCGCCAAGTGACAGCTTTATTGTGCTTTTTTGTTTTTTTTTGTTGTTTTCGAGATTAATTTGAACAGTGAACTGCTTAATAAGGACAATTAGGATGGTTAGGAAATGTGTAGTGGGTCAAAATATTTGTAATAAGAATATTATGCATTTCATAGGTAAGGTTTCATTAGCATAGACGCGTTCCGATTAAAATTATTAAATAACCTGTTAAAATATGATATATGATTTTCTTCATGTGGAATGGTTTTAGATTATGTATGCAGTTCATTGTTCCACATATCTTTCTCAAAAATGTAATGAAGCATTAAATACGACACCCTATAGGTATAGGTATATAATTTTCGATATTTTAAATATATCAAATAATGGATGTACACTGCATATGTTAAACATCTATATGATATATTGAGTAGTTACTTATGAACCTCTACTAAAGCAACCCGTTAGTTATTTTGCTGGATATCCATAGAATATCTTCTATATCCTGGATATAGACGGACATTTGGATATCCATATTAGATCCACTGGATATCTATGATACCCTGTGGATATATTAGATATCCACCAAAGATATTCTGTGGATATATCTGTGATTTGGTGTGTTGTCTGGGCGGCATGAGATCAATGTTATAGGCACTGGCGGCTCGTGGGTTCTAGCGGCAGTGGGGCACACACTGGAAAGGAATCCCGGGATTCGTTTTTCCCTTAGGAAAACAAGTTCTCCGCTTAATGAAAATTAAATATATTTCAGAACAAACAGTTGGGGCAATAACGATTTCTGAATGTGACTACAGGGAGCTAAATGTGACCACTCAAATGCATTTAACTATGTATGTGGCTATTTAATCAAAAAATCACTATATATCCACTCTTGCGAAATTTGCGTAAATTTCTCAGAAGAATGCAATTTACTTAACAATTCTAACTTGTTAACGCATTTTAAAGCATACGACTCTGAAGAAAAGGTGTTTGGCAATTTAAAATCTCCCAGCGAAAAATTTCTCTTTTACATTTTCAAATTAGAAAAAATATTTATATCTCTATTTGATAGTTTATCAACTAAGCCTGGAATTTCCAACGCATACCTTTTTGAGATGAGCAAAATAGAATTTGGTCATCCTTGCCAATAATTTGCGAAAATGTACACCATTAAATTATTTATAAGACTCAGGATTTTTTATAGTCTTAAATATGCAAACAGAGATTTGAAATCCTCGAAAAAGTCAGACAAAACCAAAAGAAAAATTAAAATTTTGTCCCATTTATAAATATTATTGATTTTTTTTTCATCATATTCTTGACTGCTTTATAAAAAAAAAGTTATTTTTCTTTGTAGTTTTATTTTTTAACTATTCCAATGGTCCAACTAACGTTTTTTCGTAATCACAATAAATAAATTATTATCATGGTCCAACAAACGCGCACATTAAGCCAAAACCGTCATCGCCTTTGTGAGGAAGCCGGTAAAGATGCCGCTGCGTACATTCGTATCTGGTCTAGGTAATCTGTGCCATGGGTACAGCACGTTACGATCAGGACAGCGCCCCGTTTGTGACGTATAATCCATCGCAAGTGTTCATCTCTTGTTAAGCTATATTGTCGTTGTCCTTGTTTTTCGCATCATAATGAGAGAGAAAACAACAGAGGTACACATTTACTGTGCCCATCTTCCACTTAATTTCGGAATTCTCGGAACGTCGTTCAACGCCCGGTCGTCCAGTGTCGTGCCAACGCTGAATATTAGATAAAAATATAAAATATGTAGGTTATTTTTTTTTGTTTATTATACTAGGGCACGTGCTCAAGTGCCCTTACGGGCAAACCGCCACTGGTTATAGGTCAATATTAATTTGCAATGAAAGGTTTTAATGAAACGAATAATAACAAAAAACCATTTTATTTCCAAAAAGTCAAATAAAAAATGTTTTATAGATGTTAACTATTATTATAAATATATACAAAGTGTTAAATGCTTTTGTGAGAAAGAAATACGTGAAATAATTTTTAATTTTTGATATCCGATCGCAATCACATTATCTAGAAGCAACGATAACACTTATAGGTAACCACAAAAGTAATTTAAACATCAAATGTTTTAATATCAATCCATCAAAAAATAGCGGAACTACTCCAAATTTACTTCAAAACGTAAAAATGCAGCCGAATGTAATGATCATTTAAATATCAGTAATTTTTATTTTAATAAATGGTTTATCAAAGTTACTTTTTTTATCCAAATGTATACTGAATATTTTCTTCTTAAAAGCAGTTTTTCACGGTGCAAGTTTGTTGCAAAAGTTTTCTGAACAAGAAATGCCTGCAGGATGTTTGATGAAATTTTTATACCATTAAATAGAACATAAAACATGTTAATAGGAAAATTTTTGGATCAGTGCGTCTTATTTGACGTTCCATTACGAAAAAAACAATCAGAACAATATACCTACAACTCGAAACTAAATAAACAAACTATTTTAGGTTAGGTTTCTGGCTGACATCATTCATTGAAAACATCGGCTGTATGGCTTTATTTCTGGTAAAATTTAGGTTAGAATCTTGAATTTTAAAGGCATGAGATAGTCCACAGTGGAACGTAAATCCACATACTTTTTCATCTCACTATTTCTCTCCACTTTATCCCAACCTATCATTACGTCAAAATGTTCAATGACACTCTGTATGATGAATGATTATTAAAGAGCACACTTTTTGTGCATCCATAATAAAAATTTGCTTATTTTCAAGTACCTATGGATGAAAAGTATGTAGAATTACGTCTGCTATCTCATACCCCAAAAATTTAAAATTTCAACTTAAATCTTTCCAGAAAAAAGCCATCCGAAGTTTTCGCGCGGACACCCAGTATATCCCTACCATTCCTATAAACTTTTACCTTGCAAAATGATAACTATAGAAACGAATATTGTGCAATCATTGTCCTAAATGCATAGCATGAAACTTGCGTCGTGAAAAGCAGCTAGATCAATTTTGTGCGTTAGAATACTTTAAAAAATTTGCTGCAGTAAAATACATTAAATTTTATTTAAAAATGATTTACCTTTTGCAAATATATTAAAAATATATATAGTTTTGTATTATGTAATATATAATTTTGTTAATATTTAAAAATTTAAGCATGTGCAATTTGGAGAATTCAAAAAGTCGTATTCTTACACTTTAATAAAAATAAATTCACAAATAATCATATATATAGTGTTTATAAAAGAGAAACCGTTTAAAAAAGTTTTGATCCCAAATATATTGCATTTTCCATTCAAATTAAATTAATAATTTATAAATAATTATTTACAAACTTAGTGTCATGAGAATATTAAGAGTAATATACTTATGCCATCTTTATAACTTAAAAGAAACATTATTAAATTTACTGTATTTTTCAATTTTTCCAATAGCAATATGTCTGAATGGAAGAAATTAGGTACTTAAAAGACATGCTGTAAAATAGTAGGAAGACGTTGAATAGGATGAACACATAAATGAATAAAACAAAAATCACTTCTTACTTTATAGTATTTAGAAATTGTATTTTCTTTTTTTCTATATCGCAAAAATGTGCTTTACTTTCTAATATTATTTATTAGTTCATCCAATAAACTATTTTAGTTTTTTTTTTTTCAACATATATCATAAATTGCTTCAATGTTGTTGCGTGAGTTCATTTTTTAATCTAGAATTTGGAAAATTGGCTATATTTTTTGTGAACATTAGATATAACTGGACGAAGATTTGATTCTTATTTCAATATGATATGACTTACTTAACTGTATCTCTTTACCTATTGAAAAAAACGATAGGTACCTAATATATTTATATTTTAAACTATAGTTTTACATCATTTTATAACGTTCATAAAATGCGATTTGTGTTAATGTACACATATTTTCGATATCCTTTACAAAACGTAAAAATACGTTATTTTCAAAAACCGAAGAATTGAATCTGATTCTTCGACCTTATACAATAAATAGTCTAACTGAAAATGACAATTCTAGATCAATAAATAGTTCTACTGGAGACACTTAAAAAAATCATTAGAAAAAGAGTATTGAATGGCTTGTATGTCTAGGTGTAGTAAAATAATATGGCTTCGTTTGATTTATTTCGTTTCTTTTCCTTCGAATGTGTCTTTGTTTTGATATCCGCTAACGTAACCGGAACCATCTACTACGTCTTTTCGTCCAGAGATCCCTTTTCCTTTTCCGGTTTCGTCAAATCTCTGCTTGTGCGTCCCCGTATATTTGGAGGTGTCAGTGAGTCGGCTTACTGTGTCGGTCGCCTTAACGTTCTGAAAATTAAAAAAAATTGTTTACAGAAAATATCATTTATGGTATGTATTTTAACCAGTAGTATTGTGCAAAGTCTATGGTTTTTAAAAATGCCAAATGAAGAAACATAGTATAAAAAATAAAAGGTAGCGTATTAATTGTGTTAAAAAGATGACGACCACGCGCATGACGTTTATTATCGCTGCATTAGATCCCGAAATCATTTTTCACATAAGAGAGTATACCTTTTGTATTTAGAAGGAAAATATTTATCAGGGAATGAATAGAAAAATCCAGTACCTGTATTACATTTATCCTTGGCAAAGGGAAATATTTTAACCCTATTTGAAGTAACATTTACAAAAACCAATAAAAAATACAATGAAAGAATCGTACTTAAACAAATTTAAATGATTCATATTCATTTAAAAATTAATCGTTATTTAATTTTTACATCAAAAAATTTGAATATTTACACATGGTTCCTTTCCACAACACCAACATCTAGATGTGTCGATAAATTGTTCTATAGATGTAGATTATCTATGCCAAATATCAAAAAAATATACTGAGTGATTCAAAAGTTATGGTCCAAATTCAAAAAACCCTGTAACTCGGTTATAAAGGTCGCAAGACTCATAATAGGTATACTCGTATGGGTTTTTGTGATCCCCTAGGTGACCTATATATAGAGTTAAAGTATTTCCCTTTTCCAATGAAAGACCCTGTATATTACTTTAGTGTTAATAAAATGTAATATCTTAGTCTCTACTTCACATTTAAATATGTTCAGGGGCGGTTTCTCCATTGGTTCATTTGTGCAGTGAACACCCAGTTAAATTTCATAAAAATACATTATTTTAAAATTACATAAATAAATTTAATTATAATATTTTTATTTTCATACGTGTTAATCTATATTTTTTCGTACATCATTGCCCTCTGGCTGATCTCATCTTTGTGGCAGAGTATACCTATACCTCAGGAAAGGTATGAATTAAAAATATACACAAAGATTTTGATACGATACCATTTCAATTTGTTAAAAAATAAAGCAAACACAACAGGTTTATTTGGTTTGGTACTTTAAAATTCCTGTTTGCATATCATGTTCCTAACTTTTGGCGCTATTACCGGACAGTTAAGGTTTCTTTTCGGCCCAATCACGTAAAATGCGATTTTCTGGCTTATAATCGGCCGGATTCTCGTGCATTAGTAACTCTGATAAGAGTAATGGGGCAATTAAACAATTAGACGTTCCCTTTAATCAATGCGTTATGTTCAAATTTTCTATCTCATTAATTCAATATTTAATATGATTCATCTTGGTGAACAATGTCGACTCGTTGTAGATTAAACCATTATATCATTTAATGGGTATTTATTATTAAAATATTACATAATGATGTAAGTACTAATTCAAAAATCAATAATTATTAATTATGATAATTATGATAATTCGTTTTTATTACCTTTTCCAATTTTTAATAGTAGGTACCTAGTTGGTACAAAAAGAGAGTGAATAAGATGGATATATCGAACGAAGAGTGCAATACGGACAATCCACTTGAATTTTACAGCAATTTTTTTTCTATGACTCACTATAGAAAAACTACATATTTTAAAAATTATGTTAAAAGTTATTATTAAGATAAAATATAAGATTACTTACGTTATAACTCTACTTAACATTTATGGTTGCAATATTTTTATATAATAATATTAAAATTTACAAAAATGTTCTACACCCACATGGATAGATAAGGCACAGTCTCAGGCGGGGCGCATATATGGGGGCAAGTACCCCCCAATAATTTTTAAACCTAACTTTTTATAGGCACTAAAGCGTACTATTATCAAAAATAAATTTAAAATATTACCTACCACCAGGAACGACGAGGAGGGGAGCTGTAGGATGTTTTGAAGAGACAAGATCGTTTTTTTAGGAGCTCGTCAGGCAAAGGAGGACCTGGTTTACGAAAAATACAAGCCGAAGACCTTTTGCCGAAACAGTTAAAACAGAACAATACATGTTTCGGCAAATTCCACATATGCCATGTGCCTTGCATTAATTAATTTATAAGCCTTGAAAAAGACGAAAAATAAACGTCGAAACGTCGGTAAATGTTTCCTTTTGGCACGTCCTCTTCCCACTAACCTCACACTCACAAATACATTTAAAGGACGAAAACTTTTACTGAATCCGTATAATAATCCTTTTTTACGTATATTTCGTATATTGTAAGGCCCGTCATTTATTACGACCCACCTTGCCCACTTTTAACAGTACTTTGGTGTGTGTTTGAAAATTAAAGAAATAACAAGTGTAACTAAACTAATTAAACATACACTATATAATAATTAATTTAAATATGGCAGTCTTCCCAACATGTTTGCAAAATCATTCTGTCACAGAGTATGATAAAACAGAATAAAGCTAAAATAGTTTAAAATTTAATTCTCTTAAAACTGATTAGTTTCATAAAGTTTTTATGCCTATCCCACTTATTATCATAATCTTAAAAAAGATTTAAAAATGGTTTGACAACATTCTTAATATATTCTTACGGACTTTGTTTTAGGTTTAATTAGTTTTAAGATATTGTTTTAAAAATACTCCTAACAACCGTTATAGGATTCTCCCTTTTACTCTTAAAGCAGATTTATAGCAGCCCTAAGGCTATCTCGCGGATTCAAAAGTTTTATCAGTTTTTTAAAAAAGGGTTTTATGGTTGGTTACCTTATATACTTTGATAAATCTAAAAATGTTACTTGGGCAGGGCTACTATGCGAAAGGCCCGGGTTCAAAGGTTTTTTTCATGTTTATATTATAAATTAGTAAAGGTTATAAATTATTTTTAAATTAGTTATTTTGTCTTAATTATCTAAAATAATTTTTAAAATTTGTAGATTTTCGATAGTGGGTCGTAGAAAAAATATACTGTACAATTTGAGTGGATTGTCCATATTTACTTTTATTGCACAAACCAATCCTACCTGAGCATCTTTTACTTTTTTAAAAATTGCATGAATACTAGGTCGTTTGGTATCAATTACACAAATTTATAATCTGCATAATTCTTTCTCTGTCTTTGTGAAATATTACTGTTTGTTTTTGTTTGTCTCTCACGTTTGTTTTGGAGAAGAAAAAGAAGATATACTGCCTGAACGAATCGAGGCTTTTTCCTTTTTAATTTCGTCGGTTGAGAAGAAAACTACCCTGTCCTATGTCCTTTTAAACTATCATATGTCCATTTAAACTAACCTATGTCCATTTTTTAAAAAAGAAGTTATTGACATAATATCCTAATTCGTATTTAATTCTAGCTTGTGCAATACTACCATTCAATGTCCTAAGAAGCCTAGAATTTTCTACGTTATAGGATAAAACTTTCAAATGTTTAATACATAAAACTGATAGAAAAGGACTTAGGATATCATTCTTATCAACCGACGGTTTTTGAAATATAATAATAAAAAAATAAGATTTAGTCATATATTTTTTGGTATTACTTACCCCTACTCCGTGTAGGCTTGGCGTACCGCAAGAAGACAGCTTCTTAACAACATCTTGAACTTCAATTTTTTTGGCCTTCGCTAAATCTTCCAAAAATGTTTTGTACTGAGTGACTGTCACTTTCTGTGACTTTAATTTTTTGAAATAAATACCTAAAAAAGGAAACAAATTATTAATAACGTTATTAAATTGATACAATAGCAGTGTCGCGACTCGAGGCCAAAGTATTGGGGTTCATAATGATCTCAAAGATCTCAGTACAGATGTAGATGAAAAACTTTCAGTATTTTAGAAAGTTATAATATACCTTTTTAAAACACTAAAAGTTTTTTTTACCTACATTTGTACTGAGATCTATATTCTGTCGTTGTGATCCCCTATATTTTGGTTATTTGTCGCCACTGCATAATAGAAAGTAGGTATATGTATATGGTTAAAATGATCCGCCATTTTTCTACTTTAACTATACTAGCGAAACCTATCGGATTTTTACTCCTTCATAACCAATTTTCGCCATTTTTTATAGTTACACCGTAGTTTGATGTGAACCATAGGAAAACTTTAAATAAAAGCTGCCTATGGTTAAATCCGCCTTTAGGTTCGATTATGAAATTGCCCCTGATTACGTTCTAATTTTTTTGAGAAAATTTCAATATATTTACTTATATAAACTTAATTTTCTACTGTATTTTTTCAAATGGCAATATTATTTAAGTTTCGTTGTGATTGGGTTTGACATGGACCTTCACACCCGACCAGATCTTCACATGATTTTCTATTTCGACATTTACAACACTCAGACATATCTGAGATTATTTATTGCAACTTCTGTGCAGTTGATACCGCTTCCATACAAATAAGTGATAAAATTATAAAAACTAAGTAAACACAAAACGATTGTGAATGTTTAGCGGCTGTACCTCATGGAAGAAGCTAAAATTATAGCTTTGTATAGTTCAAGGTAAAGATATATTTTTTTTTCGACACAACAAAAGAATTTGTATATAGAAACCTACAACTGCAACCCAGGGACGGACTTAATTAATTGTATGTTACGTTTTAATTTGAGATTGTCTATTGTTATTTTAAGAGGAATATTATATGTATTTAAATATCACATTATTCGCATAATTTCCTTCTTCGATTAGGTATTTAATAAATTTTTCTAATTAAATAAAATATGTCAAAATAACACCTAATAAACTTAGAATAAAGTAGGTATTATATGAAGTTTGGAGTTGCTATTTTTATTTACTTTTACTAAATGTAAAAGTTGCATTAGGTATTGTCAAAAACTTATTCAGTCGATAATAAATCATAGCTGGTTAAATTCTAATTATCAATTAACAAATAGTCTATTTTCTATTAACCAGTGACTAGTTAAAATTAGTATTTTAGGAATTATCTTTTTCTCATTTAAATTTAAAAATCTCCCATAATTATTAACTTTAGATATATAAAATGCTTTACTCAAATGAAACTTTAATTAAGTTACTTATAAATGGTAATATAAAATACAGGGTGGCCAATTTAAAAAAGCTGGGAAAATAACATATTTGAGTTTCAACTCACCCTGTACAGATTTGTTTATAATTGAAAAAAGTATTACATCGGTATAAATGTTGACTAACCTTTTACCGCAAATCATTGGTTTTCAATTGTTTCTTTTGCACTATTCAAGACATTGAAATCATTACAACTTTGATATAAAACTGGTTATAGCGTGTGCAATACCCTGTATAATCTCATACTATTTAAACTCATTTAAAAAACCTAATTTTGATATGTATCACATTCTTGGAGAACCCTGTATAATTGAAATTATTTTTAAATCAAACCAGTTTTAAATTGTTGCTTTTCGGATATACATCTTGCTGTGAAAACAGATTTCGCGAGGCGTTATCGATGGCCCACCCTGTATAAATAAAAAAATTATACTTACCAGTATCTGTCGTCGTAATTTTCTTTCCATCGATGATTTTGGCCTGTTTCATCCATTTATCGCTATTTGAAAGAGTGATTTGTCGTCCGTCTGACTTGGGATCTCCGAATTTTGCAAAATTTTTGAAATTCGATTCGAACGTTACCGTATCTTCAGCGGGAGTTGGGGAAGGAGAAGCCGTTCCATCTTCCCTTGAAGCAGCATCGATTTTTAGTTTTTCTATGCTGGGAGTTACCGTTTCAGCGGACATGATCTGTAAACAAAACGCGTATATTAATGATTTGTTATTTTTTAAAGTGCAATTGGGTTTCCTTGCGACCTGGCGTCTCAGATTGGTTTTTTGGAACTTACAACTTTTTCGCTTTGAGTTTTGGATATTGGTTTATCACCTTTTTCGGAAGTTTTTCTTCTCAATTCAGTAGTTATTATCTAAATAAATAAATAATAGATTAGTATTTCAGCAGTTTGATTTATTTTCATTCCGATTTTAAGACTATGAATAAATCCAAAATAGACGATCATTATAGAAATGTTTCGTCTACTGTCTAAATCAACCTGCGGCCCTCCAAGCTTTTTTGTGCGGCCCCAAACACTATTATTAGGAAGGTGCTTTTCAAAATTATGGCTTTTTGTTTTAAAAATTTTGAGCGAAATGCGCGAAACATTAACATTAGGCGATAAATATCATGCTATCATGCTAATATTTTTATTGTTTTGCATTTATGATCCCAACTAATTTTAAATGGTTGACCTACAGTCCTTTTTTGAAACAAATTGTCCTTGCGACTTTTCAAAGCTTATTAAAACAACTAAAACAACATGAGAACTTTTTTTTTAGAAAATATTTAAACCGGATCCCTATCGTCATTGTCATTTATTTACATTTTAAAAAGGTGGCAACCCTAGTTATCACCCAAAAATAGTGCGACCCATGTAGCATAACAAACAGATTTATGTGGCCCGAAAGAAAAAGAGGTTGAGTATAGCTGGTCTAAATACTGTAAAATATTCACTTCGAACTCTTTCAGATATTTTGTTTTGAATAAATTTTTTAATTCGATATTTTATGATTACAGACATCCCCTAGAACTATGAATTTTAAGGTAGCTTTATTATTTGTCGACTCTTGTAGTTAGATATTTAAAAAATTATAAATTTAAAAACTTTTTATTTTTTACCCAGAAATATGGCTTAAAAGCAAAATTTTAAATACAACTAACAGCACTTACAATATTTCACGTAAAAAGTGTCTTAAAAATGTCTTTTAAATCATAAAAAATATAGATACAGCGTTCATTTACAAATTAAGGCGAAGTATGTATTCCTTTTAACATTTTTTTTTTTTGTTAAATTCAATATCTCTATGGTATTAACTGTACACACATAAAGTAGGAGTGGAAAATATGGGAATACGTAGGATTTTAGCAACCGCTTGCTAATTTGCGTGGAAATATGGATGTTTAGTACAATATTGAAATCAATAACTCTTTTCTAATGGAAATCATAAAGAATGTATTTTCCTATAAAGGCAAATATCAATTATTTTGATGGACGGAGTTAACCGGGCGCAAAAATAATCCCTTTACCTGTATTTTTAAAAGGGTCTATATTCTTTACATGTAAATTGGGCGCTGGACTTTCTTTTACTACCTGCCTGCATGAGATAATTAATACTTAATGTAATCTAAACTAAATTCCAAAATTAAATGTTCTTTACTTGCTCAGGTCAATTATATTTATAATTTAGTTTATTTCTACTGTTGATAGTGTGCAGGTGGAATATGTCGGTGTCAGTCATTAAAAGTGAACGTGAAAGTGATTTAATTTTATATAAAAATTTTACATTTTCAAAAGACAAAGGTTTAAAAAGTGGTGAGACATCATGGAGATGTAGCCAAAAAAAAATGCATTGTAAAGCCCAACTTTACACTGTTGGTACAGAGAACCTAATTTCAAGAAAATATGATGTTCATAATCATGAAATAAATGAACAAATGGTACACAGACAATATGTTTCAAATGCGTGTAAAAGAAAGGCCGTAGAAGATGTAACTGAAAAGCCTTTAAAAATAATTTGTAAGGCATTATCAACGGAAGATGCGAGATTTGGTGTTCGTTCCCGAGTAGCAGAATTATAGTTCGACTGCATCCTAAGGAAGTTGCCAGCCAAAACCAAATAGGGGTAACTAATAGTGGCTAATTTTATTATTGGAGATATAAAAGTTAATTTACCAGCTTAAAATTTAATATTTACTTGTTCCTGAACATTTACATTTTTTACTGAATAAACTAATTCATTTTTATAAATATACATGTTGAATCTTATTTTTTTAAAGGTTACAACAATTCTCTTTTGCCTAAATTTCATATAAGTTTAAATTAATTTCCTTTTGATAAAGCTAGAGTTTATAATTCTCACTAGCTTTTTAAAAATAAAACAAGAGACAAATTGGCGCCCCACTCCCAGAAAACTATTATCCCCAAAGGTGTCTATTAGAAAAGCCGAATTCACGATTGAGAAACTATATGGTCAATGAGCTCATATCTTTTTAATTTGATTAAAGCTAAGTAATGTTTGGTGTTAAATTTCTATGAGCTAGTCAAAATTTCTTATAAGTGTTTTGAAATTAACATTTTATTGCAAAGTAACGCAGAGTAATTACAAATTGACGCTCCATCTCTTAATGATCTTGTCAATAAATATAAGCTACGAGAAATAAATAGACTGCATTACCTAAAATGTACTTCATATTTATAATGTATATTATTTTCTTTTTTTAATAAAGTAATACAGTAAAATGATTTATATATTTTTTTAGTACTGAAATAAATACGCAATACCTATTATGATATAAGTCCAGATGCGGATTTTTTTCATGGTATTTAACATAATTCTAGGTAAACAAGAACGAAAACAACACTAATTAAACCACATTAATCAAAACTAAACCATCACATTTGAGTATGGATAATCTATTTTATTTATTAATCTTATCACCTATTATATCTTTAAATGTTAAAAATAACAAGTTTAACAAAGGATTTTTTAAAAGTTTGTATTTATTTATTTTTAAATCCTTCTAAAACTGTTTATTTGGAATCGATATGAACCCTTTTGGGATATGAGGTAAATATAATTATCTCATTGAGAGATAATTTAACAAGTTTATTGATATTAAAAAAAAAATTTTTGTCATGAAATTAATAAACATTTTTTTCCTCTTGTCAACTTCCGTGGTAAATAATGTTAATTAAATCATATAGAAACTTAATGATAAAATGATTCATGTGATATTGGTAGAAAATAGTGATAATAATTTACCTGGCTTGTTTATTACGCATTGTTCACATATGCAACATTAAATTCAACATATTTTTTTATGACGCAAATGTATCGATAATAGCCCTGACCACAAATGCAACGACCGAATCTGCAACGATAGAATATATTATGAACAATTTACGGTTGCGCCCAATTTACCTGTAGGATTAAACTGACCCTAAAATCTAGGCGCCCAGTTTACCTGTTCAGATTATGGAGCAGGTAACCTTCGTGCCCAATTTACCACCGCCGATTTTGATCAGTTTCTTGAGATTATCTCAAGATTAATGGTTGTTGTATTTATTAGTACCGGTTTAGAGGTATCATTTAAAATTTCAATCCATCCATTAAAAAAACTGAAAAACCATTTTAAAAATTGTTCGATACATTTCTAACCTGCAAGTACTTCGTCTATTTTGAATATTATTGTCAAAAAATTGTTAATTTAAAAATTTGTAAACTTACATGACTGTCAGCTAGTGCTCGACGCGTGGTAGTTTTGCAAGCTTTCCGAAAAGCACTGGCGACTTTTTTTTCGACATTTCTCTAAACAAGCAATTAATATACTAAGAACCAGTTGTAAAAAAAATGTTCATTAAAATTTACGAGCCTCATAAACTCAGAGCCATAAATTCTAATGAACATTCTTGCAACTGGCTGCAAGAGATACTACTCCGATTATATCACTGCAAATGTAATAATTTCCTATACTTTTAGTTGATTAATAATCATAGCTGATAATCATACTTGATACATTAATGCTGTAAATATTGAGTAGGCATTGTCATGTTTTGTCATTGTTTTTGTGCTGTAACTGCAAATTATTGAGCTGCCATATTTTATTAATTCGTGATATAATCTATTGAATACAACTTTTGATATCGGGACTATGAATAATCACATAAATTAAAGCACTCAGCGTTAGAATATGCGATTATCGGTAGTTCTGATACCACTCGTAATATATATGACAATATCAGCAAAGCAACCCAACAAACAATTTCCGAGACATTGCTGGCCTTCTGCTATAATTGAAGGGAAAATTAATACGACAATTAAAAAATAAAAGTCTACTTTTGGCCTTTCGATAGTGGCCGATCATTATATTGGTTGATGATGGACTTATGAAGGATAAGTTAGTGTATTGGGTAAAAGTATGGTAAAAATCAAAAGGCTTTTAACTGCTAATGCCGCCAGACCATCATCAGCTAATAAGTTGACCTATCGTTGAGAAATAATCAGTAAAACCGTTTTACTTGTTTCATAAAAGAAGAAGAATCGGGGTAGGGTACATAACATATTTTATGAATGCTCGGGAAATGCAAACGTTGGTGTTGTGTACAAATGCATATCTATATCTGTATATTTGATAGGTTTTAGTCATCTAGGTTTTAGTGTCTAAAACTTTAAACTAATCTCTCCTCTTGAAATATGTGTTTTCTGGAGCATAATAAGCTCGTTCTCAAATCTTTAAATGCCTCTATACAGCATCGGTTAAGTTTTCAATGTACGTTAAGAGACGTAAAAGTGAGTGTGAAAATTATGAAGTTATGAAAAAATATAGAATATACTTTATTTGCTTGGCACATGGCCTTTATTCATCACAGTCAGTATTAATATAGCAAAAGCCTGCAATTTCCCGTTAACTTTCCATCAATAGGTCGTTAATTGCCAATATATTTATTTCTACAGACATTGAAGGGAAAATGTATGCCTATTAAATGGATATGATGGCTCGATTGTCGACCGTAGTGACCTATATATGCCGACCTTTTAATGATAGAAGTTAAATGGCCATCATTACGATTGGAGGGTAACAGTTATTGGGTTGTTTGTTCTCCTACACACATAGTTTGTTGGGAATAATAAAATTGTCAGTTTAATTTTTTTTAAACTTACAGTGTATTTTACAGGCGTTACTTTATCCAATCTTCTTGTCTTATCTTTAATTTTCATTTTCAGTGTAGCTGATATTTTCTAAACAAGAAATAAGAATCCATTATATTTCTTAAATGTTAAATTTTTGTAGAATAATTTGAAAATTCGGAAAAAATCTCAAAAATCACCCACGAATTATTAAGACTATCCTCGAACCCCAAAAAAAGCCTGTTACTGCTGAGATTCGAACACAGACATTTTTTTCTGTACACTAATGTCCTTACCGCTAGAATAAATTTGTTAATTTTTTGTCAAGCGATTATTGGCTTTTATTGGCGTCCAAATTTGTAGGGGTGGTAGTTCGCATAATTTGAGACCGATTCGCAGATTTCATTTTTCCAAAATATTTAAAATAAAAATAATTAAAAATTAATTAAAAATTTTAAACAGGTACGGTCCTGCACAGCGACGGGACAGCCTCGACTCGCGCGCGCTACGCTTAGAATTGACAAAATTGCAAATCGCATCTGTTTTTGAGTTGTAAATCCCGATGAGTAACCGATCAAGCGACTATTGCGCTGTGCGCTCAGGGTAGGACCCGCTCTTTGATTTTTTTTATAATGGCTCTATTTTGTTTATTATAATTATTTTAGAAAAATGAAATCTGCCAATCGCTCTCAAATTATGCGAACTACCACCCCTACAAATTTGGACGCCAAGTTCGGAAACACCCATGATGAGTATTTTTGAAATAAATCACAATCAAAACATATCGGAATTTTCATATTATAGATTTAATTATCAAAGGTTAAAATATGAACCAAGCTTTGGTGAAGACATAATATTATATTTAGTTTGTTAGTAGTGTACAAGTTTCAATTACACTCATTTTGTATTTGTATGCTAATTATTCAGTTTTCAGTAGTCAGTTTTCTCTAGGTTTAATGTTAGTTTGTTTAATTAGAACTAGGTACTAGTTTAAAATCTTCGGGAACTATTGTTTTCAGTTCAATCTAATTTGAAGCTACATACGTTATTACAGTGTCATCGGCAAAGATTAAAATATTTCCTTTAGTATTTATTTTGAGCAACCTGTTTTATCCAAAATAGAAATAATAATAGAAAGCGAGAGCGAAACATTATGTTATTATTAAAAAAACTATGTTACTTATGAACCACTCTGTATAGAATAAACAATAGTGGCCCGAGTACGGTACCCTTTGAGTTCATACAAAAAGTTGCTTCACAAATTTGGTTGTGATATTCTACAGTTATTAAAAAACCCTATATAAAGTAAACAAAACACTGGTTCGAATACCGTACCCTGAGGAACTCCGTGTTGTTTTTCTATCCATTAACATTCCATCTACATCTACGTTTTGAATTCTTATCTAAATAACTTTTTAGTAAATTAAGTATTTTGCCCGTTGATTCAGACAAATTTTATCTAAATAGATTGATAATTACCAGACTACCCTAACTTCCCGGATATATTTTGTAGGTTAAGCGATAATAAGTTCTCTTTTAATTAAGGCATTTTTTACTTGATTATTAATAACAATATAATTAATATAGGTAACTTATCGTCTTCGCCAATGTTAAAGTTTTTAGATGACATTCTTTCATATTCAGTTAAATGTTCAAAATATGGTAATTCAAAACATAACACCTATACCATAAATGAAAGGAACATAGATTTTTCTTAATATACAGGATGTCTCCGCTTTTAATAGACATGTAACTGTTATAATAATCATTAGAATTAAATGAAATTTAGATGTGGGAGCTATAATGACATATGGGCTACTTAATAAGCATATTTTCGTGTATCAAGACCTTCCGGTTACATCGGAAGTGATTATGAATTTTGTTATTTCAAATAGGACACCTTATATATTTTAACATTTTTAAATTCTGTACTTCATTCTACACAATTTTTATGTAATATGTCATATATTTCTAACCGTTTCTGATAAATTCGAGGTTATACAATAACTTACGTTTCTTGTTCGAAAATAAAATGTAAAAATGGTAGTTTATTTATTTTTATAAAAATTACATTATAATTATTTTAATATTCGAATTGTCTTCCGTCCTCTTGAACACAAACTTGAAATCGTTTTAAAAGTTCCATTGTACACGATGCTCTTATCATCTCGCTATAGTAATACTATGGCATGCTCGTCTTATTTTTAATATCATTCAAATCAGTTAATTAATGTATTATTTTTTTTGAGATGGACCTGTAAAAAATTTCTAGAAGGGTTAAATCAGGAGAACGCGCCGGCCACCTTATAGACCCCTTGTTTCCAATCAATTTATTGAGAAATCCCATATCCAGGTATTTTGTGTGGTGGCCAGAACATTGTTACGCGGTCTCCAAGAGGAACGTTTTCTAGCAGCCGGGGAAGGCAGTTTTAAAAGAAATGTAAATACCTTACCCAATTTAATGTGCCATCAAAAAAATAAGGAGCTATTAGACCTCCCGTTCAATGGTCCTGTGGTGCTAGCATTTCACTTGGCAAGCTAACAAAAGAACATTCACAACATTTTGGTTATTCTTTCATGTTTGAAATGTTGTCATTATTTTGATTTTCAGGGTTATATGCAATCACGGTTCGTAGACAACACGGTGGCCTCTTCGTCAGTTGCTAAGGAAGACTGTGACGTCACGGAATGCAAAATCAAGTTAACAGAAAATAATCTGCTGCGGTTTGTACATTAGTTTTTTAAAAAATCTAACATTTCATTAATATTTAGTTTATATTTTTATTTTTGGACTATACACCTGCGTTGGAGTTTTTATAAAATCGGTAATTTGATTTTTTGAAAGACTAGCCACAAAATGGCATGGAAAAATCCATCAAATTTCAAATGAATTACTTTTTATTTGAATTATAAAGAGAAATATTATTGTGTGAATGGTTTATTTTAAACATTTTGGATTAGTGTACGGCCTCCTTGCTAAATTCGAATCACACTTTGATTATATCCCGAAATATTTTGAAATTTTGGCAAGCCTGGAGTGATCCGTAGTTTTGGAGTTTGCAAACAATTTTTACTGTTTACACACAAAAATCGTTAGAATAAATAATAAACTGAAATTAAAGACTAAGGGTAAGATTTTATAGTAATTATTCTGCAAATATCATTCACCATTTAAATTAATTGCAGTTTTGTCCACCCTACATTTAAAAGCAGACGAGATGGTTTCTTACAAACATTAAAAACAACCAAGAGCAAAAATGTCAAAGGGCTTTACTAAAAGAACATACATTTTTGAAAAAAGGATTTGCTACAAGAAGTTTTTAGTAAAAAGTACATAGTTGCAAATCATTTTAAAGAAGAAAACAAGAGCCTTTTAGAGTTGAGAAGAAGTTTGTAAAGCATTCACCAGAAGATATTGAGTAAAAGATGCTATGTAAACGGTACATGCTACTAGTAGTTGATGAATTCTCTCGGTTTCCCTTTGTTTCTTTATGTATCAGCACGGCTTCATCTGAAGTAATCAATCATTTGAGAGAATTATTCTTCATCTTCGGTACTCCCTCCTATATCCACTCTGACAATGGTACATCTTTTATTTCTCATGAACTCAAATCATACTTAGATGCTCAAGGTATTACCACTAGTAGATCTACTCCTTACAATCCTCAAGGCAATGGACAAGTGGAACGGTATAACGGCATCATCTGAAAAACCATTAACCTTGCACTCCGGTCAAATGTACTGAAATTGAGCCAATGGGAAGGTATACTACCAGAAGCGCTTCATTCGATTAACTCATTACTATGCACTGCCACCAATGCAACTCCTCATGAGAGAATGTTTAACCACCCCCGACGTTCTTACAGTGGAGTATCTCTCCCTACATGGTTAACATCTCTAATTCGTAAATTTAATAGGACCAATAAATATGAGCCCTTAGTCGAAGAGGTAGATATCATTGAAGCAAACCCACATTATACTCGAGTTCAACTCCCTGACGGCAGATAAACTACCATATCGCTTAGACATCTGGCCCCTTCATCTGGACAACCTATTCAAAATTCTGAGGATCCTAGTTCTTCACAACTAAATGAAGAAAACTATTCCCCTTCCAGTACTGAATATTCTTCAGTTACAAAATAATATAGATCAAGAGAATGAAGAAAAAAATGAGGAGCATATTGCTAAAACTTAACAAAATTGTGAGACTCATCATATAAATCCTGAGTCGAGAAGATCAATGCGATTAAGAAAAGCCCCGACCTTTCTAGATGATTATGTAAGATTTTAAAGGTGGGAAGAATGTAGTGATGATCAGTGAATGTACTTACATACTCAATGAGTTACTTATTGTATATCAAATTATTATATTTTTCTACACCCGTATTATAATAATGCACTTATATGCCCATAATCCGTTTCATAATGATACCCATTATGATACAGATTTTTCATTATGATACAGATTTTTAATCAATAGAAACCTACAATTTTTCAATCAAGCATGATGTTTGACGTTTGTCCTAAATTCCTATGTAATTGTTTTAGTTGTCAAAACGTATTCAATTTTCGTAGATAGCTAAACTTCGATAATTATAATATTAAAATGTCTGATATCAGCGATATAGAACACTCCTCCACACATATAGGAGAAAGGAGAAAATGCAGTACAAAATATTTTGCCCCAAAAATCTGTGGTAATACCAGTACCCAAGGTAATACCATTAATTACAATTTTGTAGAATTTTTTATAGAAATACGAGTAATTACTGTTATTGTGTTCAATACCAATATAAATAGAATATTTATAGGTCTTGATTATTTATCGGGTGTAGAAAAAATAGCGTATGCAACTCTCATGTAATGGTTATTAAAACACTCGCATAAACCATACGAAACTCGCCTTTGGCTCGTTTCGTATCCCGGTTAATGCTCGTGTATTAATAACCATCATTACATGATCGTTGCATAATATACTATTATTTCATTGTCAGTCACTTTCTGTTTATTAAAACCTTAAGAAGGGTTTTGTATTTTATTACAGAAATACTCAAAAGTATCCTTTGCTGGGGTTTTCGACTTTACATAAGTGTGCTGCTAAAATAAATCTG